ACTTGCAGCAATCTATTCTTTTTTTTTTAAAAAAACAAAAAGAGCTTTTATGAAACTTAATAATTGTAACTTTGTTCAGTATTACATATTTCTTAAAATATGGCTGTTTTCCAAATACCACAAATAGTTTGAATCATTTTTATCTGTTAGAGATCTTTTTAAATGGAGTCACTGGTTCATTCTGAAAGCAGCTCAAACTCAGAGTTTATAATCTTTGAAATCATGACTCAAAGTTTGCTAAATTAAAAAGAAAATCACAGTTGGCTGTTTTCTGATCCTTTAGAACTTGGCAATGAAAAGGAAACTGCCAGCAATGACTTCAGCTGAACTTGAAACCACAGTTTAAAACTTGAGCTCTTTAGCAAGACACACATCCCTCCAACTTACAGTTTTTTAACTGTGTGTGTATAGAAAGTTTCCACCTCACTTTCTCGTTGGTCTACTGGCCATTTTAATCCAGTGGACAGATTCCAAATGTCCTGGATCCTTTTATGTGGGTTTATTTAACCCATAAGAATGGATCCATGCTGTTTCTCATGCCAGGGCACTTGGCATTCCCTTCACTTCTCTCCCGGAGAAAGAGCTTGGCTTAGGGCACTTCTGAGAACAGCCGCAGATGGGGGAGGGGAGGGGCAAGGCAATGATGAGACCCGTTCAGTATTACATATTTCTTAAAATATGGCTGTTTTCCAAATACCACAAATAGTTTGAATCATTTTTATCTGTTAGAGATCTTTTTAAATGGAGTCACTGGTTCATTCTGAAAGCAGCTCAAACTCAGAGTTTATAATCTTTGAAATCATGACTCAAAGTTTGCTAAATTAAAAAGAAAATCACAGTTGGCTGTTTTCTGATCCTTTAGAACTTGGCAATGAAAAGGAAACTGCAAGCAATGACTTCAGCTGAACTTGAAACCACACTTTAAAACTTGAGCTCTTTAGCAAGACACACAACCCTCCAACTTACAGTTTTTGAACTCTGTGTGTATAGAAAGTTTCCACCTCACTTTCTCTTTGGTCTACTGGTCATTTTAATCCAGTGGACAGATTCCAAATGTCCTGGATCCTTTTATGTGGGTTTATTTAACCCATAAGAATGGATCCACGCTGTTTCTCATGCCAGGGCACTTGGCATTCCCTTCACTTCTCTCCCGGAGAAAGAGCTTGGCTTAGGGCACTTCTGAGAACAGCCGCAGATGGGGGAGGGGAGGGGCAAGGCAATGATGAGACCCAGTGGGATGAGATTGTGTTACCTCGTGAGTATTATATGGGTGACCAGGGCATTTGAGGGGTTCAACAGTACTTACCCATTGAAAGAAGAAAAGTGTTCATAAGGAGGTGAAAATATAATTGGAAGAGGAGAGTGAAAAGGGGGCCTGGGAGGCAGGTGAAAAGGAAAAGACATTGCCAGGCCGGCGTGGCTCAGTGGTTAAGCGTCTGCCTGTGACCTGGGAGGGCACAGTTCGATTTCCGGTCAGGGCACATGCCCGGGTGTGGGGCCTGCAGGAGGCAGCCGATCAATGATTCTCTCTCATCACTGATGTTTCTATCTCTCTCCCCCTCTCCCTTCCTCTCTGAAATCAATACAAATATATTTTAAGAAAAGGGAAAGGACATATATTTGTTCAAGTAGCTGAGAGAACTGGCGGTGCAAGCTACCTTAGTTGTCCCTTCTTCATATGTTTGCCTCTGCTTTGGGGCACAGTCCACAGCTTCTCTACCTTGCTGCTTTTTTCCTTTTTAAATGAATTTCCCCTCTTCTGGGCCTTCATCTGCATCCCTCAGGGTGCCAGCGTCTCCACAGTGGCCCTTGTCCAGCAGATGCCGTCCAGCCCGACGCTCCCGCCTGCCCGCTGCCCTGCCAGCCCCGCGAGCGAGAACAGAGGGCCCTTCTCTGCCTGCGCTGCGTGCTGGGCCGCCCGCCCGGCTCTCTTCTGATGCGTCTTCAGGCTTGTTTCTTCCTGACCTAGGAATGCATGAGCGTTCGGTCCTTTCTTGCTTTGAATGTCCTTTTTGTGCCGACAGGGAGAGAGATGACTTCATGTCCGCGCTGGTTTCCGCGAGGAGCAGCTTGGCCGACGTGCAGCAGAGGGAGGCGGGCGCCTTCGAGCAGGTGAAGCGTGCCGTGCAGATGACGGAGGAGGCCAACCTTGAGAAAACCAAGGCAAGTCTAGCAGGGTCAGAGCCAGGCCAGGCCAGGCCATCATGGCTCCTTTCCCCGCTGAGTGTGTCTTCCCTTATTCTCCCATAGCTAAACTCATTTTTCTAAACACACAACATGAATGCCCATCTGTTAATGTTGACTTTGCTAAGTTAAACCAATTTCCATTTGATAGAAGATACTCTTCTATCGCTGTTCGGAGAACATGGTACATTGCGGTCAAGGATGTTGAGAGGCTCGTGTGCTCAATCTCTTTATTTGGTGACTAGAGGCCCGGTGCATGGGTTTGTGCACGGGTGGGGTCCCTCGGCCTGGCCTACGCCCTCTTGCAATCTGGGACCCCTCGGGGGATGTCAGAGGCCCAGTGCATGGATTCGGCCTGATCCCTGTAAGCTGGGCCAAGGTACCCAACCAGTGCACAACTCCTTGCACCGGGCCTCTAGTATGCATATAAGATCATTGGTTAATCTCTTTCCGCCCTCCCTGTCCTCCTTTCCCTCTGAGATTCATCATGTTCCTTGTTCCATGTTTCCATGCCTGTGCATTGAGCATCTGCCCCCTGGTGCACACTGACCACCAGGGGGCAGACAATCAATGTAGGAGCTGCCCGCTGGTGTTCAGTGTGCTCTCACATGGGGAGCTCTGCTCAGCCACAAGCCAGGCTGATGACTACCAGAACAGCGGTGGTGGTGGGAGCCTCTCATGCCTCCTCAGCAGTGCTAAGGATGTCTGACTGCAGCTTAGGTCTGCTCCCCGATGGC